GGCATCATTCAGTCTTTCCCAGACATCTTCTACCACATCTACGCTGATGATATTCAGCTCTATATGTCCTTCATGCCACACCAGTTGGACAGGCTGGCCACACTCGTACTCTGCCTGACCCAGATCAGTAACTGGCTGTCCAGCAACTTTCTTGTCCTCAATGCTAACAAGACAGAGACCCTGATCTCTGCACCCCCGGAACTTCAGCCAAAAATCGAGCAGGAAATTGCCTCTTTTTGCCCATCAGCCAAGGCCAACATTAGAAACCTGGGAGTTATTTTTGATCCAGCTTTAAGTTTAGACTCACACGTAAAAACCATCTCCCGCTCTTGTTTCTTTCAACTGAGAAACATTTCAAAAGTCCGTAAAGTTGTTTCTACTGCAGATCTGGAAAAAATCATCCATGCCTTTGTGTCATCACGCTTAGACTACTGTAACGCTCTTTTTACTGGTCTCAGCAAATCCTCCCTCTCACGCCTTCAAGCCATCCAAAATGCAGCAGCCAGACTCCTAACCAAATCCAGCAGACGAGCTCACATCACTCCAGTTTTACAGTCCCTCCACTGGCTCCCGGTAGAATATAGAATACAGTTTAAAGTTTTAGTCCTGACCTATAGAGCTCTTAACAACCAGGCTCCAAGCTACCTATCTGAGCTTTTATCCCTATACATCACCTCTCGGAACCTTAGATCCACATCTGAAAACCTCCTGGCTGTTCCTCGAACCAGACTGAAAACCAAAGGGGACAGGGCCTTTCAGACTATTGCACTCAGACTTTGGAACAGTCTACCTTCAAATCTCCGTCTTTCTAACACTGTAGAGGTCTTTAAAAATCATCTAAAAACTCACCTTTTCATCCAGGCGTTCCCTCCCTAAATGTTTCAAAAAGATGGCTTTGTTCGGGTTCACACCTTCACTTTGTTTATACTCATGATTTAATTTTCTACTTTATCACTGCTATTGTTTTTTGGATGTTTTTATTGTTTAGAGGTATTTGCCCTGATCTTTATCATGTTGTACAGCGCTTTGTGATTTATATCTGTGAAAGGCGCTATATAAATAAACTTTTACTTACTTACTTACAAGAGAAAACTAACCCCACATCCAAGTTAGATTAAAGATGAAGTCTGGTTTCTTGTGGTGACACATATATTTGTCTCATAAGCAAATGAATAAATAATGTTCTACTGCTCCAGTTCCAGCTGAAGCCTGCACATTGCAGCTTAATCACCAAAAGACGTCAAACACCAAATAGCCATTGTGTAATGGGCTATGAACGAGAACATATTAGCTCACTGGGACTCCTCTCTGTTGTAAATATATGTTTCATAGGCGGGCTGCTCTCTAAAGGCTATCTTAGATGATTCCTACAGCATGTTGCACACCCACCCATCTTGAGAAGGGGCGAGGCTAAATGAAAGCCTGAAGCAAAGAGGAGCCAGATGTAAAAAAAAAAAAAAGGTGAGTCCAGAGGGGAGAAGTTCATGATCCAGAAATGTGGATGAGGCAGATGGATGACATCTCAGTTTTCACTTTGCTTTAGCCTGCACACGCTGCAGTATTGAACGCTTGCTGATACGACACTGGACACTGAAAATCTCAGCAGAGGTTGAGCCAAAATGAAAACGAAGATAGCGCCAGCACCTCATTTTTGTCATATCACAGCCTCAACAAAACGTTGGGCTTGTTTCAGCTAACATTAAACAATAGTGCACTCTGGGATGTGATCATTTTCCAGTGTCCTGGAATAACTGATGAAGACAGAACTGATACAAATCTAGATTTCTGTAAAGCTTGAAGAGTCTAATGTGTAGATTTATCCATTTCTGAAACACATTCCCCATGTAGACGTTGTGCAAAGTGTTCACTCAGTGCAGCAGCTGCATCAGCAGAGTGAGGCGGAACAGAAAGCCACATCTTTGTGTGTGTGTGTGTGTGTGTGTGTGTGTGTGTGTGTGTGTGTGTGTGTGTGTGTGTGTGTGTGTGTGTGTGTGTGTGTGTGTGTGTGTGGCTGAAAGTGTGCATGTGTGAGGAGTTACAGACAAAGAGGAATCACTTGTACTCTCAGCATCCATTAAACTAACCCAGTGGATCAATATTGATCCTTACCACCACCGAGATCTGTCTAATAGGCTTCTGGTCTCCCTGATACAATGACAGCATTAGCACACTAACGCACACTCACACACACACACACACACACACACACACACACACACACACACACACACACACACACACACACATGGATGGATGGATGGAAAACATGACCAGACAGAAGGGGAGATATAAAGAGATGTAAATAACCCCCCAAAATAGTTAAACACTAGAGCTGTTGACGTTTCATAGATAAAAATCAAAAGATGGATTATGATGGAGAAAAATCCCATTTTGCTTTTGTCAGCATTTAACACAGGAAATTAATCCACAAGAACCTCTTTTTGCAGATCTTTTAACCCATCAGTCACTTCAGTGTTTCTGCTTCTAGAGAAAGCGGAAGAGAGGAAGTCTCTGTGCAGTGGTGATAATATAAGCATTAGTCTGTGTGTGTGTGTGTGTGTGTGTGTGTGTGTGTGTGTGTGTGTGTGTGTGTGTGTGTGTGTGTGTGTGTGTCTTATGGATAAGACAGAGTAAAAGAAATGAGTGAGAGAAGAGTGAGTTGTTTATTTTCAGCCTCTTCTTCCTGCTCCGCCACCCTCCTGCTTGAACAATAAATAACGATCAGCTGGTGCTGAGATTTGGCCGCCTGACTTGTTTTCTGTGACACGCTCAGCGTAGTCACCCTCTCGTGTCCTCTCTGTTATCTCAACATCAACAAACGTAAAAGACAACATGCCATTTGAGTTACTAATTATTCCCCTCAGTCACAAAAAAACACACAAACTCATAATAAATGAGGTCAAATTTCTATTTGAACCAGAAATCTGACAACGTTAATTTCTCCAATTTTTGAGAAAACGTTTGAATTTTTGTGCTCAATAATCATTTTAAATAGCAAGATAAGATAAAATGTCTCAGCAGTAGCAAACCGCAACATTTGAGTCCAGTTATGTGACATTAGATATAAACAGACCACATACTCCTAGCTGCATTGGTTACTGGTTTTGCTTGAACAAACAAAAGTGAAGCAGCTCAGTTTCCACACAGTTAAAAATTAAGCTCTCCCAAGGAGAAGCGTGCAAAACAGTCGTTCAAAATGTTCCTCCTCGATGTTTTTAATTATTATTGAATCATCGATAAAATTTACAACTTTTCTCCCAAACGTGTCTGAAATGTAACCGCAGCTCAGCATTTGGACTAACTTTCTTGTCATTCTGTGGCTGCTCAGAGGGATTTCAGCGAGGTGAAGCTAAGTTTGCCTGCTGATTCCCACACAAAGAAAAAGGCTCTGAAACACAGCCCGTGTGTTGTGCAGGAGCTTGCATATAGAGCACATAGTGTCAGGGTAGCCAGGCAGTGCAGCTGGCCGTTCACAAATGTGCAACTTTAAGGCCGTGTGTAAATCCACAGGACAAGGACCCTGTTCTCCTACACAAACACACACAGACAAGCTAAAGGGAATAAAAGCAAGTTGACCGGTAATGTTGAAATAATGAACCTTCAGTAATCTCTAGAGATCCTCAGTAGAATAAAGAGAAGAAACAAACTGTCCTTCAAAGGGTCACTAGAATAGAATAGAATAGAATAGAATAGGCTTTATTGATTCCACAGTGGGCAAATTCACTTGTTACAGCAGCACCAACACTTAAGTGAATAATTTGAAGAAAAATAATCACTATTATATTAATATATAATAAGCATAAATATATTATTGTGAATATAATAATAATAATAAATAATGACTATTTAAGTCATTCTGGTTCTCACTCTTTAGATTGTTTAATAAAGAGAATTAAACGGGTCGTTTTCTTTACGGTCTCAAAGAATTGTCTTGTTAAATGGGTGTTGTGATTATTAATCAGGAAAAATTAAAAAGAATGTAAATTGAAATGAGGATCTTTTTTAAACATCTTCATCTCATTCATAATTCCATTCATCTCCCTGCTAAAACATTCATCCTTGAATAAAAACGGTACTTTCTCCTGTTAATGTGTGTGCTGGCACCAGTGTGACAAAATCTGTGCAGTGAGACAGTAATGGACGCAGTAGTAGTGGCCACGTTTTGCAAACCGGTTTCAGAGATGTGAGAGCGCTGCTGGTCCTCCTCCATAACCAAACCTAAAGCCTGTCTGACGTAAGCTGGGGAAAGAGTCGGTAAACGTCTTTCTGCCGGAGTCTTGTTCTCTTTGGCTCTATGCAGCATCAAAGCCTTTGATCCCACCCGTCTTCCCCAGCCCCCCTCTCTGTCTTTTCTCTGCCTCCTGCATGCATTCCTGCCCCTCCCCCGCTTCAGTTTCCCTGACCAGGATGGGTCTGCAACATGTTAGCTGGGTGTCCGCATCAAGCCTGAGCAACGATGCATGTTGGTGTGAAAGGAAATTATGTTACGATTCAAACGTTGTTAGCCCGGTCTGGACGTGTCGGCTGTAGATTCTCATTCCAGGAGAGAAAAAAGTCAGACAGCAGCAGTCAAAGGGATCTGGGGAAATCACGAAGAGGTTCTTCTACCGCTCTCATCTGAAACCATCACAGCTCGTCAAGTGAACATCACACTGTACTGTTTTACACTGAGTCACATCTGAACCGGACGTTTTTTAATACCGACGACTTCCGGTGATGAAACACGTCCATTACGCTGCGTTCCAAGTGAAACACGAGCTTCGAACTATCTGTATTTAATGTCATCATTTCAACACCAACATACGCTTATAAAAAATGGATAAAAGGATCAAACTGACCTTTTGGACATCAAAGTAAAGACTGAGATCATTTTAACATTTATAAAAAATACTAACCAGAAAATGAAAGTGCAAACTCTCCATTTGTGGGTTTAGATCAAAAATGGACCCGATTTCCCCAAAAGAGACAAATACTGAAATAATGCATGAGAAGACGATCACTCTGGACTTCAATCTTTTTATTCTCCATTCCCATCAATCCACAAACAGTCCTTACAGATATTTTTATCAAAGGCCAAAACATTTAGGTCATGTTGTCTCGTATAGTAATTGAAATAATAGTTGAAATTCTAAATCCGATAACATGTTAATGGTGAAAGTGTTTGAAATGGCCCTGTTTGTAGTATTTATCGGTCTCAAACACACAGATTCATTCACTTATTCATTAGTACCAAGTCTGTTATTCATTTGGGTTGACATTAGCCGCCCAAGTCTCTGTCTGCTCATGCCTCTGTGTCTTCTTCAGTCTGCACCTTCAAGTGGTTGTGTCCTCTTTGATACTCGGGAACTTTTCCTGAGTTTCCACAAAAGACCAAGCAGTGGTTAAAGCGCTTCAGAAAGCCTGTGATTGTGATTGCTTGGTGGCTCTCTTTCACCATCAGGGGACCGAACTGAATTCGCAGCAATGTTGAAGATGGCTTTGTCTCAGACTGCCTGGGTGACCTCAGTGCTGAGACCCTCCACCATGTCTGAGACAGCATCAGGAACTTCCTGGACATCTCCACAGAAGTCCACCTCCTTTTTCCGTTCACACTCACTCTGCTCTTTGAGAGGTGCTTCCTCGAGGTTTTGATCCCCATTAACACATTCCTCTGTGTGTGTGGCCAGATTATTGCTGCAAGTCCCGTTCATGGCTGGAACTGCTTCTGGTACATTCTCTGGACTAGAGGGGCTCTCTAAATCTCCATTTTCCATCTTGGTTTGCGCCTCAGGTTCTGGGCAAGGCACCTCTTCGTTTGCGTTGTCGGATTCAGCGGCGAGGCTGCCTTCTGAAATAGACTCTGAGACGATGATCTCAGGGCCAGGTTCTGCTGCTCCTGACTCCGCTGCTGCATCAGAGACAAAGGTGTCTTCCTCAGCAGGATGGTTTTCAGCTGAGGCATAAGGTGATTCTCCTTTGATGCTCTCAGAATCGATAGGGTCGGATGTGATTGGCTCTGGTTCTGGTTGTTCTTCTGTGGCAGGCGTCGCTTGCTCAGGTTCTGGTTGTTCTTCTGTGGCAGGCGTCACTTGCTCAGGTTCTACTTGTTCTTCTGTGGCAGGCGTCGCTTGCTCTGGTTCTGGTTGTTCTTCTGTGGCAGGCGTCACTTGCTCAGGTTCTGGTTGTTCTTCTGTGGCAGGCGTCACTTGCTCAGGTTCTGGTTGTTCTTCTGTGGCAGGCGTCGCTTGCTCTGGTTCTGGTTGTTCTTCTGTGGCAGGCGTCACTTGCTCAGGTTCTACTTGTTCTTCTGTGGCAGGCGTCGCTTGCTCTGGTTCTGGTTGTTCTTCTGTGGCAGGCGTCACTTGCTCTGGTTCTGGTTGTTCTTCTGTGGCAGGCGTCACTTGCTCTGGTTCTGGTTGTTCTTCTGTGGCAGGCGTTGCTTGCTCTGGTTCTGGTTGTTCTTCTGTGGCAGGCGTCACTTGCTCTGGTTCTGGTTGTTCTTCTGTGGCAGGCGTTGCTTGCTCTGGTTCTGGTTGTTCTTCTGTGGCAGGCGTCGCTTGCTCAGGTTCTGGTTGTCCAAACTGCTGTGCTTCAGGTTCTGGGCTGGGTGCCTCCACAGACTCTGGCTCTGGTTCTCCTACGGGCTCTGCTGCTTCCTCCTCCCTAGGATCTGCCTCCAGACTCTGCACCGTTTCTACTAAAACTTCTGCCTCTGGCTCAGGTTCTAGGACAGCAGTAGGAGCTCCTTCTGTCTCTGTAACAGTCTCTTGGATAGGTTCTGGCTCGGGATTGATGGGTCCTGCTTCTGTGTGGGCTAGAACAACATCTGGCTCTGGTACGGACATCACAGCTGGAGGATGTTCCTCTACATGGGGCTCTTCATGTTCAGCTGGAGATTGAGGCTCAGCCTCAATTTGAACAGGTTCTTCTGATGTGACCGCGGCAGCCACTTGCTTCTCGACTCCTGCTGCCACTGGTTTCTCTTCAACTGGTTCTGGTTCGGCTTGGGCTGGGTCTTCAACAGGAACTGGATCATCTGGTGCTGCAACCTGTGCTTCTATGACTGAAGCTGCCTCAACAGCTGATATTTTCAGTTCTGAGACAGCAGATGGTTCTTCTGGAGGAGGAGCAGAGTTTTGTTCTTCTGGAGCCTTTTCTGCTGCTGCAGCTTTTTCCTCCACAACTGATTTCTCTGCCACCAGATCTTTTGCCACAGGAGCTGTTTCCACTGCTTTAACAGCTTTTTCCTCCACAGCAGGAGCCGGGGCTTCTGCTACCGAAGCAAGTTCCTCTGCCACTGGAGCCGCTTTGGCGTCTGCGGTTTTCTGTTCTGGAGGTTCTTCCTCTTTTGTTTCGGGAGCTTCTTTGTCTGGAGGTGCAGATTTAGGATCCTCTGGAGCAGCTTCTGCTTCAGATGCTGCTGTAGTCACAACTGTCTCCTCCACAGCACCATTTTCCCCGGCTGAGGGCGGGGCTCCATCCTCCACTTTAGCAAACTCTCCTGCACCAGCATCTGTTGCTGCAGCTTCATCCTTTTTGTTTTTTGGGTCGCTTACATCATATCCTTTCTTCTTTTTGCTCACTTTGCCTCCCATGATGGCTCCTAGAAAGTAAAAAACAATGTTAATATAAGAAAATCTCATGATTGAGCTTTGTTAATAAAATATTTTTATTTCAGTCATCCACTTGAAACACAAAACAAATGTAATCTGCATGACCTGACTCACACAGAAGTATCAAATTAAAATATGACTTCCACATTTATTTAAAATGTGGCTTCAAAAGTGGAGTGTCCATGTCAATAGAGAAGTATCTTGCAAAGAGAATGAGAAGTTCACTCGAGAATCTGATGTCTGCCAACAACAGTTTGGCCGGGAAGCCAGTTCTTGCCTGGGAACTGAGGTCAGACAGTCTTAAAGACTGTCGTCTCTTTCAGGAAAGCCTGGAGAGGACGGCTGCCAAACGAGGCCCTGATTTTAACTGGACACCCATGATGCACAAGGATTTCTCTCGTGGTTTGGAAAAAGTGAAAGTATTCAGCTCCACCAGGTCCTCGACATTCCTAGGAGAAGGATTCACATAACGCACCAAATTTGGTGCTGTAAATCCATGGAGAACCGGGGCTTGGACGTGATGCATTATGAACGGAGTAAGTGTGTAAACATGGAGACGTTCCGATTAAAATGATGACTCGGTTTTGGCGGTAGAGGAAGTGCATGATTACCAGTGAACAGAGTAGAGACAGAAGAGGGAACTAAAAGTTTGTGTTCACAGCAATCCCAGAACAAACAGGAATGTTTGGACGCAAACATCCCATTAGAAGCTGTATTGTTCTGCTTTTCAAAGACAGAATTCCAGATCATTTAAATATGATGTCATGAAAAAGCCAAAATGGTGTCGAGTTGCAGGTCATCTGGGGGTCACAGGTGGGAACAATCTGGGAGCTGTCCATAGTGCTGCAATCGCCCAATCAGGACGTGCCATTAAATCCATATGCACATATTTACGTTTAACTGGATTAAAATTAAAATAAACAAGGTAAATGGGAAACACGCGTTTAATATAGTAAATATGTCAGCGTTTGGGTGTGTTCTTCCTAGACAAAGCAAAAGACAAATAAAATCCAGCCTGAGGAGCAACTTTATGGATAAATAATTTATCACCAAATCCAAACAGCTTTGTAATTCACATGGGATCAGATTTTACGGATAGGTGAAGACAATAGACATTTTTTTAATTATTGTTTTAGGGAAGATGGACTCAGGCGAATACAAATGGAGCCCCAGGCAGGCCCTTAACAAAGGAAGAGGACCCCCTCATCAGCAGAGGCTCGGCTACGGTTAGAAACCCCTCAAACCCAATAACTGGATCCAACTAAAGCAGAATTAAACTAAACACTGGTCACGAGCGCACGGGTGAGGAGCTATAGGGGGAGAAAGGGAGAGGGAGGTCTCCATCCCCCATCTCCAGCCTCCCACCCTGCCTCCCCCAGCTGCTCTGCCCTTTTTTGTTCAAGACGGTTTCAGAAAGTGTCGCTCCAACAGGAGCGTTACAAACAAAGCCCTGAGAGGGTCCTGCTGCAACTTTCTGCTGTTTCTCTATCCCTTCGTCCTTCAGGCGCCTACAAGACCTCAGATAAAAGTGGGATTTAGCGTTATCAAAAAAGTAAAAGGAGAAGAGTAAGAAAAGAGAACAAAGGGTAAATCGGCGACTTCCTCCCTTTCTCTTTTTCTCTAAATGTAACACAGAAAGATCTGTACCTTATTTAGGGAAACTGGTTGGTTTTCCTTGCCAGTAGCAGAGCGGATGCGATGATAACGGAGGTAAAAAAGAAGAAAGTCTTCCGGGAGTGACAGCTGCAGATTCCGCCCCTGCTCTCCGAGGTGCAGCGTGTTGTACCCGAGCAGTGCCCCTCGCACTTCTCTGGACATCTGTCGCTATCACGATCCAGCCAACCCCAGGTCTGCTCTGTCTGCAATCTACACCTCCCAATCTTTAACCCCTCCTCCCTCCCTCCCTCCCTCACACTACAGCGAACAAACCCTGGAACATGGCCATCACGCTTATTAAATGTGGGGTTTTCTGCTTATTGTTTTGCTAAAAAAGAAATAAGCAGGAAATCCCGTCAGCATTAGTGAAGCATTGCAGCAATGTCAGGTATCAGCCACCTGCAGGCTGTTTTCTGTCTGGAGTCGTCCCTCAGCAGAAGATCCACGTTTTTATTTTACAGAGTGATCACTTCAGCCCATATTTTGCATCTGAACACTGATATTATAAATGTCTAATCACAACATGGGGCACGTAAAGAGGGGTGTGGTTGTTATATTAGCCACGACGATCCACACCTATTTGCTATTTGTCTCCCAGGTGGTAATGGGACACAATGAGAGGGTGAAATTCAACAGCTGGATCTTCCACACACTCATGTTGTCGAGTTGAAACATATTTGCTACCTTAAAAGGTATGAAAACCATTAGTGATCAACAAAATGAGCATCAATCAGCACCAAAAACTGAGCAATAAGCTCAATTTTCATTCAAACTACAGAAAATGTTATTTTATCTGCAAAAGCCTTTGAGTAAAAGTAAAGATTAGGGTTGTCTGTTTTCGACATTTTTTTCTTTATTTAACAGATACTGGGATGGGGGGGGGCATGACCGTTTACAAATCAGGGGTTTGATTAAATCAGTTTAAATAAGGAGACTGCTCTTTAAGAGGCTTTAAAAGAAGCTGGATGGATACTGTTGTGGTTATTAATTCAATCATGACACATTTTAGTGTAACACGGTTAAAAAAGTGATAACTGTGATTAAAAGACATTCACATCTCCTGTAAACTGCAATGTTTGAAAAGTTACACTTAAAAAAACATAAAAATGTGATGTTACAGAAGTGGAAGTAGAAAGATTGTATAGGGAGACAGCACCCTCTCCTGTCATTAGACCAATCAACACACAAAACATCTTTATATCATTTTGTAATCACATTTTGTCACCCTGAAATAAACATATCTACCTTTTAAAAGTGTGGAATACTGAAAAGCCATTTTTAAATTCATATTTCTGATTATAATCGGGATGCACAGCATATCGGCATCAATAATGGTATCGGCCAATATTTTCAAATATAGGTATCGGTCCAATAAGTACAACTGGGCCGATATCAACAACGGATTTTTTTCATCTTGCTTTGCCTTTCTGTTTTAGAGAGTGAGGGGGTGATGGTGCTTGTTTAGCCATGTGACAGTGATGGTAATCATCTAGCATTAATGTGTGCGTGTGTGTGTGTGTGTGTGTGTGTGTGTGTGTGTGTGTGTGTGTGTGTGTGTGTGTGTGTGTGTGTGTGTGTGTGTGTGTGTGTGTGTGTGTTTGAAGAGTCACAGAACATTGTGCTCTATGATCATTTAAACGCCAAAACTACCAAAAGAAAATACAGACTCACTTTTTACATCAGGAAGAATCAGTGTGTTTCTAGCTTTATCCGTTCTTTCATAATCCAGTGTCGTATTGGAGCAGAAGCTTTTCCGGTTTGTGCCTCACTTTTTTTCACAGCAGCGGCCAACAACAATCTCCTAATTCATGGATTTTCTGCTTCCTGATCACGTGACGTGTGACATACACGGACAGAGAACAGCTTTAGACCCATGATGTTTATTCTCATGGTGCGGAGGCTCATTCCGATGCCTGCCCAGTAAAAAAAAAATGCACTGACAACTTTAGTCGTCAATGGCTGTAAATGAGTTAAACTTCATGGACTCACCCATCTTGGCTCACGACAGGGAAGGTCGTTGTTGGTTTAGCATTCAAGAATCCGCAGAGAATGTCTTGATTAGTGGAAGCTAACATTATCATTAGCAACTCCACCACACAGCAAAACTCCACCAGGATTGTGTTATTTGTGGAGGTAAAACATTCACATTGCAGAGCAAGCAGAGTCAGTGATAGAGTTGTGTTGCTGTCAGCCAATCAGAGACAAGACATCCAAATATCAGGAAATAAAACTCCAAAACTTACTGCCTGAAGCTCAGCTGTGATCTGGCTCACTTCTAGTTCCTGGAAATGGTGCACCAGTGTTTTTTACTCTCAGTATGACTTAGGCCTAGTCCACATGTAGCCAGGTTTTTTTAAACGAATATCCGCCCCTCCAAAAACTTGCATCCACACCACCTCGTTTTAAAAAAAACTCTGTCCACACGTACCTGCCTGGATAAATACGTTGTTAAGGACATGCCAGACCTGTAGGCGGCAGTACTTCCCCCGTTCTTAACCTCGTCCTTCGTCTGTGGTCTTCCGCAAGGAGCAGTAATTCCGCTTGCAAAAACAAACGAGCAAAAAGCGCTTGGACAATTGATAAAGCGAGCGCAGCTCTGAGGCGATCCATGATGTCGGCTAGTGTAAACACAGGTCGCACACGTGATGTCAGCATTTTTTTGTCGCGGAAAGTGACGTTGTGGACCTTAAAACTCCGGTTTTGTCTGTCCACACGCAGACACCCAAAACGGAGAAAACGCAGATCTTCACTTTGGCCGGAGTTTTTAAAAAGATCCGTTTTCGTGTGAAAAAACTCTGTTTTTTGTGTGGATGACAGGCCAAAACGTAGAAAAATATCTACGTCTTGGCAGATCCCCGGCTACGTGTAGACAGGGCCTTAAAAGGCATTCATTCTCACTAGAGACTACGGCTAATTTATTAAATGAGTGTTCCACACCTTTAAAACAAAAACAAAAAATACATGGGTCATGTAAATATTGAAAATATCACATTTGTGAATAAAATGACACTTCATCAAGTAGAGTTACATTTATAATCTATTTTTAAATGAATCAAAGTTGTGCTTCTTTAGGAAGCAGAAAATAGTATCCATGTTGTTTCTTTTCACTTCTGACAGCAGGGTTAAACGGCGACAACGGGGCAGCAGAGGCTGACTTTCACATGATGCAGAAGGTCTGGAATGCACTCCCATGAGTGTAACCACCGACCTAGCCAACCACCCTGCTTCACACAAGATATGACTCAAGGACATAAGAGGAGGCCTCACCAAATCTCCTAAAATAATTGCATTAAAGTGTGAAACGTATCCGTAGGCAGCTTGTGGTCCAGATGACCCTGAGTGGAAGGACCCGGAGAAACAAAGCGATGTAAAGAAACAGGTGTTTGTCTCAACACTGCAGGCCTGCAGCTCACCACAAGAATGAGTGTGTGCAGGAATGTGACAACCGGCTCTGCCTGAGAACAGTTCCTAGAGAGGAGGAGGCTGTATCAGATAGAGGGACACGTGTTATAAATGCAAAGGAAAAACAAATTAAAGATTGACAAAGGCTCATTTGATTGGTACATTTTTATAATAGGTGGGTACGCATCATCATCACAGTTAAACTGATTTAACTCTTGCAGCACATAATTAAAATGTTATTTGCTGTCATTATTGGTCGAACTTTAAGATTTTGTACAACTGAGTTAAATTAAACCATTTTTGTTTTGGTGCAATTGCTGCAAGGTTGAATTATGACCTTTTTAATATTAGTTTATAGATCATTCATAAAACACAGGGGCATTAGAGCAACGTATTCCAGGAAAGGTCTATATTTGTCAGTAACGCACTCTTTATTTTCCTTGACCAGGATAGGGTACACCCTGGACAGGACGGCCACACAGATGCAAACAACCACACATTCGTGGATTGACACTTCAAGATACGGCTTGTTCATGGTCTGTGGGAAGAAACCAGAGTACCAAAATCTGGGACATGAGCCTGTGACCTTTAATTTTGAAACAACAGTGCTAACGACTGCACCACTTTGCAGTTTATGACAGTATGTCCTGAAAGAAATTTTTGAAACTGTCATTTATTTGCTGCCTTTACCTTTTGTTCGTCATTGACATTATTACTGCTGATTTGTCATAAAGGTATCTACAAAATTATTTAATTCTAATTAATGGGAACAAAATCTGAGAAAACAGCGTCATCTACTGGAAACATTGTATTTTACAGTACGGATGACCAAGGGAATAAAATAAAATAAAATAAAAATAAAAGCAGAAACAGCAATCCATGCAATTTTCCAGTAAGACCAGCTAAATAAATTTTCAGGGCAGTGATATATTTTTTAAAGAAACAAAACAAAATCTACTGCTTCACCTCAATAATTAAGTATTTATATAAATTGTGAGTTTTTGGGACATTTTTGTACTTCCTCAATCTTATAAAAACTAACAGTGTTCAAAAGATTTGGTCCGTAATAAAAACTGATTTGGAGTTACACGAGAGATATCAGTAAAGTTGGCTACAACGCAATAAATTGGATCACACACACCATCAGCTGTTAGAAAAATGCTATGACATCATTTGTTGGAATGTAGCCAGCGGTTTGGATAGTTTGACCCAAAGTTTGAACCGAACCGATCTGTGATGTGTTTTTACAAAGCTTGACAAATGTTTTATCGTAGTTTACATTTATAATTCATCATACATTTTAAGATTAATTTATTCCTAAATACAACGATTCGAAGTATTTAGAAGGACCTGTTAACTCGCTGGTCTCAACGGCGGTGCGGCAGACTATGAATGGAACGTACCCCTGGCCACTCTGATGAAGGCGGTGCTAGTGGTGCCCCAGCAGCAGCAGGGCCTCGCCTTTGTGGGTGTAGAAAGAGAAGATGGCTCCCGTTCTGGAGAAACAGCTCCCGGGTCCCGCCGGGTTGGGCGACAATAACAAGGAAGACGAAGAAGGACAGAGTCTTTGGCAAGTCCCGTTGTAGTTTAACGACTCGGCGTCGCGTGAGACCTCTGTAGGAATAGCACCGCCGCCTCGGTAATGCTTTGTCACTGACGGTTAGTCCCTGTCAAACACCGGCCCGGCTAACAGCAACGTTAGCATTAACTGACTCTTTGCGGTCAGTGTGCTAGCAGACGAGCTAACGTCAGCTAGCCGAACAACAGCTGATTTAACTAACAATAAATTTTTGTTGACGGGTGTAATTGGTCATGACACCTTCGGGTTTTGCGTAAACATTACGTAGAGATGAATTAGTTGAGTTTCGGTGAGTTAATAGTTTTTCCTTGGGCTTTTAGAGGTAATGTAGATATATTGCAAAGGGCTACAGCGGGAGCATAAATGTTAACATGCAAGCTTATACCTTAACCGAGCTGTTCAGAATAACCGTGTCGTTTATCAGCAAGGATCACGCTCAGTTTTGAAGTCTCGGATTGTTAGTTTATACATTTAGGTTATCTTCTTTCTAAAATGCTGTGGTCAGTGAATGATCATTTCCTGTTTCTGTGCCCTCGTGGACTCATTTAGGGAGTACCAACACCACCTATAAGTTGGTTAAGCTCCTGAGGTTATAATGTGCAGAGGTTGGGAAGTGTTATGATGAGCAACTAGCCAATCTGATCGGATCTCCATCATGATCATGTCTGATTTTGTATGTTTTTTTCTTACAGGTCCTCAATATTGAGTGAAGTTTCAACTAGATCGAGTTCAAAGTTGGCATCAGGAAAAAATATCTTGGTTTTTGGTGAGTTTTTGTTATTTCTTACTTGTCATAAAAAGTCATGAATCTGCTGTGTGACAATGTGGTTAGTGAGGGGCAAACAAACAACATAAAGCTCACAGAATAAATGAAAAAATCATTGCACATTAAGCCTTTTTATCAGATTTGGTGCCATCATCTTCCTAAACTTTTATTTTTGTATTATTGACTGTATTATTGCTTTTCTTGGATGCACTTGTTTATGTAACCCTCTCTAAACTGTGAGAACTTTTTTGTTGTTGTTGTTTACTGGGTAAAGTCGAGCCTCTTTACTTGATGCAGGTTTGCATAAAAGTTTTCCTGATGTTCCTGTGATTATGTGAGATAACTGTTTATCGTACTTAATTAAACCGATTTAAAATCAAATGCAGAGTTTAAACATGGAGTAAAGTTGACACAGTTGTGAATCATTCTTATAAAATACCAACTTTAATTATATTTTAGTACATAGAAGGCACATTTAATAGGTTATGGAAACATTTATTTGCCTAATCTTTATCCAATTAATTATTTTACTATTAATGTTAGTGTCATTATTGTCAGTTTGATCCTGTTGACTACTATTAATGATATAACTTAACATCTCACAGGTGAGGATGGATCTGGTAAAACAACACTCATGGCCAAACTTCAAGGAGCCGAACACAACAAAAAGGGGAGGGGGCTGGAGTATCTTTACCTAAGTGTCCATGATGAAGATCGGGATGGTGAGATTACCTAACTCGTTTTTAATTACTTGTACTGTAAAATACCAACAGCTTAAAACCCATGATTGTCCTCTACGTGGCAAATGAGTGTTTGATTTTGGATGTTCTTTGTTTTAACACAGATCTGACCCGCTGTAATGTGTGGATCCTGGATGGGGACCTGTACCACAAAGGCCTTCTTAAGTTTGCTGTCACGACTCAGTCGCTACCCGACTGCCTCGCTGTGTTTGTCGCAGACATGTCCCGACCCTGGACCATCATGGAGTCACTACAGAAATGGGCCAGTGTGCTTCGTGACCACCTGGACAAGCTAAAGATCCCTCCAGAGGATATGAGAGAGATGGAACAAAGAAGTAATGAGAATCTCAGTTTGTCTTGAACGTCTGCAGTGAAACGAAACATCCAGCAGAGTTGACCTTAGATCATGGGTGGGCAACTCAAGTCCTCGAGGGTTAGTTACCCTAGGGTTAGGGTATCCTGCCTCTTTTTGTTGTTTCCCTGTTCCAACACAGTTGATTCACCCATTCAGGAACTCATCAAGCTCTGCAGAAGCTGTTTCATCACCTGATGATTGAAATCAGGTGTTGAAACAGGGAAAACACAAACATGTACGCCAGCGGCCCTTGAGGACCAGGATTGCCCACCCCTGTCTAGATAGTTTGAATTATAAAATAATTAGTCTTATGTTTTGAAAATGGAACCATTCCTTTAGGCATTTTTTCTAGTCGGACCTGGATTGCCACTTAAATCTCCACCAAGAGTATGTACGATTTCTGTTTGGCTCAGTTTTCTGCGTGAGCCAAAAGTAAAGGTGCCAGGAGCATCCCAGGGTGGAAAGCTCTGTGAATCTGCATAACAAGAACAAGGCTCCTTGCTGGCTGGTTACCGGGGGCTTGGTTAACACACAGCTCAGAAGGCGAGCCCTGGATAACATTACACATTGTCATGACTGATTCTAGGTCGTCATTAGAGAGGCCCATGATCCTCAGCTGTGTGTTGTAGTTCGAGGCGAGTTCTGCAGATCAATGAGTGTGATTCACTCAGATGTTCTTGTTAATTTAGGAACAGGTCATTTTCACTTATGAACAGTTCTTTTGTCTTTGCACAGTGTGTTGCTTGTCAGACTACTGAGCTCAGCCTGCAGCGTTGTCTCCATTTTTCAAAAGTTTTCTTGCTGATTTCCAATGCTTGTTAAAGTTCTCTTTGATTACTGCAGCTGAAATTGTCTTCTTGATCTTGTCTGGTGTCCAGGAAAGTGTGTAAATGAAACACGGTTGTTCTAGTGTGCATTTCCAGCCAAAAACAGACTAAATTGGTCCAGGTTTCAGTTTTTTTGATGGTTTATTTCAGTCTGTTTGCCATTTTCTCACAGCTTGTCCTCTAAAATAACAAAATTCCAAAAGCCTGTTGCTGTCATCATCAGACTTTGTCAGATTACGTGTGATAGAGTGAGATGGGCCGCGCGTGTGTGTGTGTGTGTGTGAGAGAGTGGCTTTTGTCCAGGCAGTCTTGCACACATCTTGCATCATGGTTGCTTCCCTCCCAACAGCCGTGTTGGAAAAAGAAAAGGAAGCAAACTCAGTGGATCTGAATTCAGCCAGTGGGCTGAACGTTCGCTCTGCTGCTGGAACTAAAAGTAGGCTGAATGTTTTAGGACTTCTCTAGTCACATTACAGGATCGGGCTTCTTCTGCATGTTAAAATAAGAAATGTTTCCTAATGCATGGCTTCTGGTGGTGTTGCTGTGAGGATCTTTGTTATTTAGCAACAGTCTTTGAGAATTGTGTGTAAAAAATCATGTTTAGCTCCAGCAGACTAAACTTGGCCACTTTACTTTGTGGTAAAAATCTGATTTTTCCTCCTAGTCTAATGGACTTTAGTATAAACAGGCATTACTTTTTCATTGAATGTATTCTGCAGTGTTCCTCCTTTAACTCTCCTGTTTAAGGATGAGGACAGAAACATTTTTGCCCCACCTTTGTTTGTGGAACCGATAAGTTGACCTCAGTGGGGCAAAGTCTGTGTGGCATTAATTTTTTATTTTAAAGTGACACTCCAGGTCCGACTTGTATCCTGTGGTGATCAATTCTGCCTAAAGCAAGCATGCTAAAGCATCTTTACTGCATTTTCACAACACCGCTTCTCCGGACAACCACCATGCTGAAAAGAACTCTGGATTGTTTTTTATTTGTCAGGAATATAAATTTAATTTGACCAAATATTTTCTGAGGTGATTTTGTCTTGAAGGGTTGAATTTAGGTGTTTGATTAAAGTCATCTCTGGTTTCTTCAGTATTTAAACTGTTATTACTCATTTCTTTGGGTTGTTGTTACACTGGCATGGAGTTGCTGTTCTTGTATCAGAATCTACCAACTTCTGCCTAAACATACACACTGAACTTGTGTCTGTAGTTTAAACGTGGTTTGTTTTTAAAGTGTTTATAACTCCGGTTCTTATCTGACGTACAACATCCACATGTGAAAGGAAAGGATTTAACTAAAACAGACAAGCTTTCTGGCTCAGTGGGCTGACCCCCAAGTGCATTCTCAATGGGCCAGAGGAAGTAGGCCAGAACTTCCTGTCTCCCCCCCCCCCCCCCCCCCCCACACACACACACACACCCCTACTAGCTTTGAAAATGTCTGGACAGCTGCTCCAGCACAGCAGAGACGTGAGGAATGTCACCAGTCAGACCAGATTTAAGATGTTGTGTATTGATGCTGGTTTAAAGTGGGAAGTCTGGGATCAGATCTCACAGATGATGTTTGAGTCGTTCTGCAGTCTGAGTATAAAGGTTTGAGTTGATTAGGGTGTTTTCGGAAGCATCACTTATTACAGCAGGTCTCCTCCAGGCTTGTGTTATTTGTGAGGTTAAACATCCACGCTGGAGAGCAAGCAGTCAGTGGATCCAGATGTCCAAATATCAGGAATAAGACTCCAAATCCTGTCGTCTGAAGCTCAACTCTAATGTGGCATTCTTCTAGTTCCTGACTTTAATTAAACAAGTGTCCCACACCTTTAATAGAATATCTAATAAGATGAATGAATGAAGGCAGACAGTATGTAAAATAAATTATGAGAATTCAACTAATCTTTTTTTTTTTTGCTTGTAAGCTTAAATTCTGTATTTGTTTCTTCTCCAAGTGGTAAAAATCTTCCAGGAGTACACAGAGCCAGAGGACGCCGCCCCATCCTCCCCACGGCGGGCCCCGACATTGGGGGAAGACGAGGCTGTTGTGCTTCCGCTTGGAGACAACACACTCACACACAACCTGGGCATTCCAGTGCTAATAGTTTGCACAAAGGTAAATAATCTCTGCCTTTCAAAAGCCAAAGACTTATGATCAGATTTTACTGATTTAGAAAATCTATTGAGTAAAATCTTTCATCGGCCTTTAAAAGATATTTCTGCTCCCATCTAGCTAAGGGTGGGAAGCACAGAAAACACAGAATGTCTTCTCAGAGCTTCTTAAGGACTAATTTACATGTACAACCTCCATATGATCACCGTTGATGAAAATGATGTCAGAAATAAGAAAACAAAACGCTTTTTCTGACAATAATGGAGATGAAGTTGTTTTGGTGTTTTGATTTTGACTTTATCTGTTGCATTGTTGTCAACTAAATACTCCCTCCCCCTCTCTAACATGGCCTCCAGTGTGATGCGATCAGCGTGCTAGAGAAGGAGCACGACTTCAGAGAGGAGCACTTTGATTTCATTCAGTCCTGCATCCGCAGATTCAGCCTAGAATGTGAGCGGGCTTTGATGTCTAACACACATCATTGTGTAAAAAGGTTTCTATTTGACCATTTTATTGTTGATCCACACTTATTACTTCTACATTTGTGTCCTCGACCGGATTAAACAGACGGAGCTGGCCTGATTTACACGTCAGTCAAAGAGGAGAAGAACCTGGATCTGCTTTACAAATACATCGTACACAAGCTGTATGACTTCCAGTTCACCACACCTGCCTTAGTGGTGGAGAAAGACGCCGTTTTCATGTAAGTGTAAGATGAGCGCGTTTGTTTGCCCAAATCCGGGCTGTTCAATTCCAGTCCTGGATGTTTTAGTGGTTTCTCTGCTCCAATACACTTGATTCAGTAGTTGAATCACCTGTGCAGCAGCTCACCAGGCTCTGCCGAAGCCTGTTAATCACCTGCTGATTGAAATCAGGTGTGTTGAAACAGTTAAAACTGAAACGTGCTGGATGCTGGCCTTCCAGGCCCAGAATGAAATACCCCTGGCCTAAATCATTACACCTGCTGCAAATGAACACTCTCCTGCTTCCTTCTTCAGTCCGTCTGGATGGGACAATGAGAAGAAAATTGGGATTTTGCACGAAAACCTCACAACAGTTCGACCAGATGATCCATTTGAAGACTTCATTACAAAACCGCCAGTACGGAAGGTATGGCAGCGTAAAGACGATCGGACGTGTTAGCTGGACGGTTGACGGTATAGAATGTTGTAGGACAACTTTAGCAAAAGAGGTCCTGCATTTCTCATGGATTTTCTTTTTATTTTATTTTATTTTTTTAGTTGGTTCATGACAAAGAGATAAATGCAGAGGATGAACAGGTGTTCTTGATGAAACAACAGGTAAGATTTAGTCCAACATGCAGGCTTTAACAGTAATGAACGTTCTTCAGATAAGACTGTTGTTTAAAACCAATTTCTTTTCTTTTTGCAGTCTTTGTTAGCAAAACAACCAGCAACACCAACAAGAGGATCAACAGTAGGCATTTTAACCCCTTCATGAATGGGAACATCTTTTCATCGATAAACTGATGTTTGTTTGTTTGTGCTTCAGGAGTCCCCAGGACGGACAGCCTCAGCGTCTCCCAGGCCTGCAGGTCGTGCTGGACAACCGAGCGTATCTAGCGGCTCACCAATGGCTGCCGTCAAAAAGCCTGACCCTAACATGAAAGGTCAGGATGGGTCACTTTCATTCCTAATGAATGAGGTATCCATGGTTAGAATTGTGCTGTTCTAACTAGGGGTGATCCGATCATGTGATTAAAAATTGGGCCTGATCACGATTTTCAATCTGAAATGGTGAAAAACCGTATGAAACTACATATTAGACTTTTGTAATTCATCCTGAGATACAGATTGTCTAATGGAACAACAATGGCTTCATAATAATCTCAGCAAGTTCCTCTACATCAGGATTCTTAATTTTTCCAGAATAAAACACCATTACCTCACACAATTTATGGCAGGGAAGGATTCAGACACCGTAACATGCAGCTGTTAGCTAGTAGGCTAACGCAGAGCTAACATGTCCCGACAGAAGAGCTAAAATGTCTGATTTTTGGTAACATTTTAAACCGGACAGGGAAGGCAGTGTGTCAGCCACTGGTAATGTGTGCATACTGGGCATTTAACAAGCTGGAAAAGACAGCTGCACGATAAGCAGCCTTCAAAATGAACTACTTTCTCTTTCGGGTCTCCGTCGGCTTATTTCTCATCTGGCGTCGCCACAAGAATAATCAGTCTTTAAGTCCCAGTTCAAAGTGACATCTCTAACACAAACATGGAGCCAGCCAACAGAGAGATTACAGATGGAGAGCAAAACGTTGGGGTTTCTCATTCTGCAGCACCAAAGTCCAATTATAGACATGAATATGTAGATGTGCCATTGGGCGTTGGATAGCCTAACAGCCATATAGGGAGCCTAAGTCTCCTCCCTTTCCAGTCGGCTCATGGGTCCCAGAAGAACGAAAAAATGAATGCAAGTCAACGGGGCTAAAAATGCTATTTTCTAATCCGCTTGGCCTTGGATCACATATATGTTGTACTGCAATTTAAATGAAAACTAATGATGGGTGTTTCGACCATGCCAGTCACGTACTTTGAGATTTATCAGTATGTAAAAGTTTGTAATTAGCATGACTACACACCAGAAATCGACACGTCGCATATATGACATCACCACATAATCTCCTCTCCCCTAACGTAGCCGCTACTTACCAAATGACCAGCTTTATGGTGGTTCTGTCCTCTTGTGGGAAGTTTGCTGAACTTACAGCCCGTTTCCTTCAGTTTTCTTCGTGTCTGGTTCGATGACGTCACTTTTGTGATGCGCATTTGTAGTCCTGTACTTATTTTCACACAAAACCTAAAATAGCGTTTCCCCCGTTTGAAAATAAGCGTGTTCTTGGTATGAAAATGTGTCTAAATTTCATGGACATCATATGTGAAATCCATGGCACGTAACAAGCTGAAGTAGAAAATGGTGTTTTTAGCCCCGTTCACTTGCATTCATTTTTTCGTTCTTCCGGGGACCCATGGTGTGGAAATAGATGGCCATGACTTAGGCTCCCTATTGGGCATTGGAAAGCGTAACAGCCATATTGGGTGTTTTTCTCATTCTCCAAACCCAACTGGAGTCAACATTTTAATCATCATGCCATACCATATATCTGATTTTCTTCAAAGTTATAATAAAATGTGTTTTTTTAATTGTATAAACATCTTCAGTTGAAATAAACACTGGGGGCAAACGGAGACCCCTCCAAGATGGCAGTTTGGTTCACGTCGCATTTATGTGTATGATGTCTGTGGTGCCGATTGCTTCTGGTGTTGTGCAGATAAAAGTTAGCTTGCTGGCTGTAGCGCTGTGCGCCCCCGCTGTCATGGGAACGCACATCACAGCCGCATAATGAGGATGTAAACAATTTGAAATATGAGGAACTCCACTACTTTTAAATATGTTCATAATATTAACTCATTTTTTAATCTAAATATTTCCTAAACACGAGATATTTTTTTGCAGATAACTAAGGAAAGAAATACCTAAATATTAAAAAAGGAAAAACTTGGAGGTGTCTTCCCTTTTTCTTCTTATTTTAAAGCTTTGCTGAAGTATCGGATCGAGACTCGGTATTGGCAGATAAATCAAATGACTCAAAATGTGATCAGAACAACCCTAGTTCTAGCACTGGGTCCAGTTGAATAGTCAAACTGAATTAAAAACGGTAAATAAAAAACTCCTAAAGTCCATTAGATTCAGTGGTTGCATTTCTTGTTAAACATGTCTTTGATGTTTGATACCATTCACTAAAGTTTCTTACTAGTTTGTGATTATATTGTTTTTAAATTATTTGTAAGAAAAAAAATGTCTTAAACTAAAGTTCTCTGCATTTGTGTCTCTACTTACCAATCATTTTCCTCCTGATATTCCAGGATAGACTTCATTCACATGATGAGTCTAAAAATAGCTGATGCTGCTTTAGTGCTCTACTCTGCTTTAGGGAAGTAGTTGGGCAGTTGTTTTCAACTTCACAAAACAAAGACAATGTTCTGTTTTAGAGAAGAGAACTACATAAGAGACGTACACTCGTAGGATATCTACATGCATTTGTCACGTTAAGAAATGAACTGGGCTACGTTGGACTGCCAGATTGAAATGATTAAGTAAATAGATCAAGCTTTGGAGAAAAATTAGGCATTTACCATCAGCTTAGTCTGAAAGTTTAACAATGAACTATAGTAGAGGGTGTATTTTGCTTTCCATTAAATAAAAATATGTGGAACCTGGAATAATCCAGACATCTTTCCTTTGCAGCGGGTGCTGCTAACGAGGGAGTGCTGGCCAACTTCTTCAACAGTTTGTTGAGTAAAAAGACAGGATCCCCCGGAAGCCCTGGAGCTGGAGTGGTAGGAGCTGGAGTTCAAGGATCTGCTAAGAAAACAGGTACACCTCTTCCTTGTGACACCTGCTGTTTGTTTGTTTGTTTATAACATTCCTACTTACAGGTTAGCTGTCCTATTTTCACAAAAACAAATGGCACTTTTAGATTTTGTGCACATCAGAGTTAAAATTGGAAATCTAACTAAAGTTAATCAAACAAATCAATTTACTGACCAATTATTAAATATTCAAAACTGGTTTATAAACAGAAATTTCGATTGAAAATAATTTTTTTGAGCATTTATTATGTGGATGTTTTTCAGGAACATAAATATACATTTAAATAAAATTCAGCAGCAGGCTGCCTGTGGCTTTGCCTGACTTTAAACCAGCCTTACTAAGGAGGATGTCGGCCAATGCCGATATTTAAAAACCGTAGATATCGGCTGACTGATATCGGCATACCCCTATTTCAGATCCACCTCAGAGCATTTTCTGACTGCATTAATTGAACCAGACACGTGTTGTTTAGAGACTGTGGAGCAACTCTGTCTGGAGTTTTGAGTCCAACCGCCTGAGTAAGACGGTTGAAACAGGAGAAAAGAGGAGTCGAGCCTAATTTACACTTCTCCGTCTGCGTCTGTGCAGAGACACGCAACGCCATTAGAGCCAAGAGCTCTCCGACTGGCCTGCAGAGGGTGAGGAGACATGCCCCAAATTTTAACTATTCGTCGAAAGTGACCGAGACTGTAAGCTTGTGATTGGTCAGAATGCAGCTTCCTGTAAATCTGTCAACAGCACCTTCTTTGCTGCTTCAAAAAATAAAAAGATATTTAGCAGCAGACACGGAACAGATTGAAGAACGCCTCGCGGAAAAAGTCTGAAGATATGAATGTTTATCCACCCGTGACCGAAGGAGTACAAAGATATGCAGCAAGTATTTTATTCATGGACGGAAAAGATGAGAAACGTGAGTTTAGAGGTGCCGGTGGCATGGAGAGGTGGAGAGGAATGAGGGGCAAATTTGTCCACGGTTTAAAAGTCTCTGAAATGCAGTAAAACAATATAAAAACACTTTCGTGGACCGGATACCTCAGAGTAGCACTACGTCCTCTGTTGTCCTGGCGGGGAATTGTTTTGTAACAATCCACAGCTGACGAAGAAGTCTGACAGCAAAAGGTTTCTGTCAGTGTGTGTGTCTCCCTCACGGAGCTGATGAAGTATAAATTAGGCTTCAGACTGAACTCCTGACTCCTGGGGAGACTTGTCAGACCTGTGTGAACCCATCACAAGTGCCTGCATGATCACTAGTCCCTCACCATGCATCATTATCTCGCTGCTCCTTTGCTTCATTTACTGGACCTCTTTTGAAAATAACATTCCATCAGCTTATTTAAACTGTGTTGTACTTTTCTAATAAATTGCAGCTGAACACTGAATTTGCTAAATGCTCTCGGTGGAGAGTTTCAATGCATAACTCATCAGGCTTTCAGACCACTCAGAGCTTTAACACCTGAAACGATAACTGCATGAAAATGTTACTCTAACAAGTTTAGCATGTGTGTTATGTGTGGCATGGGAGCACGTCGCCATCTGCTTCTCAACCATGGAAAAACTATTTATGGACACACAGAAGCTACAGGAGATTACTTTTGGGTTTTGTCTCCATTTTTCTTTGCTCAAGGGCAGAAGCCGGGTTTGACTGACGTCCAGGCCGAGTTGGACAGGATGACTCGCAAGCAAGACTCTGTGGTTTCAGCTAACAACGTACCGCCAGCAGAGAACGAAGCGTGAAAGTAACAAAACAGCTACATCGTCCACCGCGTTAATACCCTGGACAAAAAATATACATGTACATGTGAGCGTAAAAAAAGCATTGACCAATTTCCCAACATCTGTATCAGTCAGCACACACCATGGGTTTCACCAAACGTGTTTCCGATGTGATCAGAAGGTGAGATGGGAAGAGAGGAAACAGAGATGGAGATGGGGAAGTGCTGAAGGCTTGGCTTTATTTCTGTCCTCTCTTCCACTGTTAACGCTATTTTTGTGAGGGATGTCAGTTTATGGAAATGTGTGCACACTCCCTGGCAGCCTGCGTGATGCTTTGGGCTGTAGCTCCCCCAGTTCCTGGGGGTAAAACACTCTCCTCAAGGATTAGAAGAGTGATGCCATACTGGTCTTGTGGCCTCAGGTTCAGCCTCTCTACAGAAGGAAATTTATTGTGATTGGAAAAGACATTTAAACATAAAATTTTGGAGGAAAGTAATTAAAATACTTGCAAACGTATGTTGTTTGTTAGAAAGAATGTTTGATATGATGTATTTATACAAAGGTTCTCCTTTTTTTATTGTTTTCTGCACCATTTCTTGGTTTTTCTGGATCACGTAACATGTTAAAATGTCACTGACATCATGACACTAATGCCACACGTCCAGATCGCTGGTAGCTCATCAGATCGTTGGCCCTCATCATCTTGAAGGATTCTGCAGATAAAAGTGCAGAAATGATATTCAGGTTAACTTAATTTTGTACAAAACACATTTCAGTCCAGACTGTGGAAATGGCCTGTTTGTCTAAACGAGACTGGGCGGGATTGGACCGACTGGTTGTATCAGAACTGCTTCTTTAGCTACAAGTTTGTATATTTTGGGAGAGGGTTGGACAGCATCTTTCCTACTATACTCCTAAGTGCCTCGCACAGTTAGCTGTTTGTGTCCTAGTGGAGGTGCTGGTCTACACGAGAGGAAAAGCACTGTAGCACGGCTGGCTGAGACGTTTTTGTTCATTTCTTGACATCCAAATAATTTATTTTGTTTTTACATTTTTCGTCGTGCACAGAATCCTGTGGTCTGTTATTTTTCGAGACGAGGTCGCTGTGACCTTGTTGATGAGGCATGATAATAGCCTAAATGCCTTCACACAAACTCGATTGGCTGCTGATATCAAGAAGAAACCACACTTCTTCCCTGTCCCCTGGACCTGCTGTGGTTTAGCCACTCACCAGCAGCCAATCTCCACTCTGAAAAGCTGCTGTTTGAACAAAAGACAGATATTCTATCCTTCAGTGTTGAACAGCACTTTCTTTTGTTACTGCATGTCAGTTAAAACATTCCCAGTTTCTACGTGAAGTAGGAGTAGAAATGCATCCCTGTAGGAAACCTGTTTGTCTAGTTGGGTCTTTTTGTTGCTTTAGAGTCCGTTTAAAACCACAACCTTTGCCTTGGCTGTACAGCTCCCAGCTCGTCTCACTAGGCACCCTGCCTTCACAGGGAAGCTCCTAATGTGTGTCCTTAAGGGGTTGCTTGATTGTATTATGCTGTTTCTCTTTCTTTACGTTTGAATAGCAGCAGCTATACTGTACCATATCATAAAATCTGTAACAGTTTGACACCGTTGTCTAAATGAATAAAGCGTACAGTCATCCGCTGTGTATGCAAAGCTCTGCTTAATCCTATGGAAATATACATGGTAGTGTTTTTTTTTATTTTTTTACAAAAATAAATCAAGTCTTAATTTAAAAACAGCAGCTGTTTCAGAAAAAAACTGGTGTAAATTGGGACACTTAACCAAAGATGCACATGAGATATTATCGCTTCCATAAGATTAACCAGTAGCGTCTTGTTTTCGTCCTCATGCACGGAGCTCTTGCATTCCACTCATCAGACTCGCCTTTAAAGTTTTCTAACATCCTGTAAACATCTGCTCAACCACATCTGGGATTTCAGCTGGCAGAAAAAACTAAAACTACTTGATTTTGTTGCTGTTTATAAAGGCTCTTCCATCAGAATTTACCTTTATTTTTGAAATATTTGAGTTGTAAGAGAGTAAAGCCGTAATGCTGTGGTTTCTGTTTGTTTTGCTATTATAGCCCTTCTTCATTTGCTGTTGAATTGGTTCAAATGAAAGCACTTACTGTTGTTTTACATCAGAAGTGGATGAAGCACAATTTATGAGCACCCACGTGTTAGTGCTGCATGTACAGATGAGCACTTTTTGATAGTTAAAGATACAAAAGGCATTTTTGTTATTTTGCTATTTCAAATAATTAGAAATGAGCAAATCTAACATCACACGCCCCTTTTGTTTAACAATGAAAAAACGTCTAGTTGTTTTTAGGAGATTTTGAAAATACAATTTCATATTTGTCCTGCTCACAAATTTCCTGTTTGTCTATATTTAATTGATGTTACCTACCTGGAGGCTTTTTTTTCTGGTTAAACTTTTCTCTGACCTGGCTGACCTTCCTGATTTGTGTTAATGTTGCTGAGTGGAATGAAGTGCTCTTCTGCTTTGTTTTTCTGGTGTCAGAGTTGCACTCTCTCTATGGAGAATGGATGATGCTCCGGTTATTGAATAATGAACACAAGTTGACTTTTGTACTCAAACGTGAGTTGAACGCGTCTGCCTCCTCACATCCTGATGCTATGGCCGTCAACCACTACTGACTGTCTACATCTATGAGACAACGAGCTTCTGCTTCCAGTCCTTTTTATATGTAGGATCTCAAGACATTTTAAGTAAATGGTCGGCCGCAATTTTGTGTCCTGGATTACGTCAGAAGTTTGAATGTCTTTAACACAATTCTGTAGCCTCTGAGCTGCCATGTGGATTCTAGCTTCTTATGCCGACAAAGATGAGGAAAATATTTATCCGACCCCTGGCTTCAATAAAACCAAGAATACAAGCTTGTCATGTTTCTCATTGTGTTTTTACCTGTGTGATTTTTGGGAAAATGCAAATTTAAAATGTTTATTTTTTTATTATCTAAATGATTGCTAGAGATTATGTTTGCAGTTGTGAATGTGAACTGCACAACAGACAGATGTTACAAACATTGTACTTTTTTATTTTATGTCTGGAGGATTTTTTTAAAATGATTTCCTGTCCATTCTCAGGGTTCTATAACCCCAAGGCGCTTCACTAAACAGTCATTCACCCATTCACACACTGGTGGGGATGAGCTACAATGTAGCCACAGCTGCTCTGGGGCGCACTGAAAGAGATGAGGCCTGTCGAACACTGACACTACTGGCCTTTCCTACCACCACCTGCCCAAGGACACAACAGCAGCATTCTCTGGTCGGAGCTGGGATCCAACTTACAACCTTCTGATTACAACCCTCTCTACATCCTCATCTACTGCTGTCCCTCAGATGATTAAATTCTGGCTCGGACTCAGGAAAGGGGGTTCTCATGTTAAAAGGCTGGGAACCACGCAATACCACTAGACACCAGCAGGGGGCGGTAACGCACAAAGAACGAAGCTTGATTTATGACAGAGACACTCGTAGCTTTTCCCTCATTCTGGAAGTTGGCTTTATTGACTGGTGATGGACTTAAACTTTTTCCCAAAAATACATGTGTGGCCTACATTACAAAACCAAACTAGTCTTTTAAACTAGTTAAATAGTTAGTGTCAAACATTTACTGGTAAAGTGATTCTGGGCTCGGTGCAGACTGGTTGTTTTTATGGCCTGCTGGGTTTATTCAAACGGACTCAGAGTGCAGTTTTCAGCGGGGCGGGGTCAAGCAGCTTTCTGTCCGCAAGGGGTGAGCGGCGACTAGCGGCAGCCTCGGCGAGCTAGCTGCGGTAGAAGACACAGACCTCCCTGGAGTCCTCTGACTCTGAGCCAAAGTGTTGGATGTTTTTCAGTCATGAAACGAGTCCCACACCACCGACGGACTTCGCTCTGGTGTGGCCCAAGTTACTAGCATTGTCCAAGAAAAACACGCAGTGGGATTCGAACTCGTAACCCGCCGAACATAAGTGCGTATCTCTCGGTGAGATATTCGGGAGGAGAAACGCCGCCCGCAGCCGTGACACAATCAGATAGGAGTCTGTTTTTCCTGCGCGTCATGTCCCACAGCATCTACTACTGCTGCAGTTTCACCGTGGGGAGGCAATGAAAAGTGGACCGTCTGGTTTGTTGACTATCTTCTCCACGGGACGACGCGTGCTCTCAGTCACACCGCCTGCGCGTTAAGGTAGTCCGGTCCTGTTTTTAAGACTGGTCAAGGGTCCGGCGTATCCCCGAAACCATGAAGACCACCGAGGAGACCGAGGGCTTTGATGGTGAGGCCTCCAACACCTCCATGATCTCCGGGGCCAGCAGCCCGTATCAGCCCACCACCGAGCCCGTCCACTCCCGGAACGTTTTGGCAGGAATGAGGTGCGATGTGGAGTACCTCAGGTCATACTTCGGGATTTTAAAGGTGGTCGAAGTGGTAAGTCCTGGCACGCGCGTGACCCTGCAATGATGAAAGACGAGTTAAATAAACCACGATGACATAACACTCAGAGATTAATAGAATCATCTAAATTTCATTAAAATATGTTCTCAGATCACCACCTATCACGATAAAGCTTACATTGTGTGTAAACTTCAAAATAAAAGTTGGTTTCATAGAGAATGAGCTAATTCAGGACTAAACAATGATCATTATGGTGATTATTGAGACTGTGACATCTATTTATCGTTTACCATTTTGAGGTCCGCCAATTTTCTCTTTTGTTAGATTTAATCAATCAAAGATACTTTATTAATCCCAGATTTGGTGACTTTCCTCCAACTGTCCTCAGAAATGTTGCTTTGAACTGTTTACTTTGTTCATGCAGGAGTACAGGTCACCAGAACATTTTAAGTTCTATTTCGTCTAGTCTTAGCCCTTAAGCAAGCTGCTATTGGAAGGGTGATCTCAGCATCAGCCAATCATGAAGAGCTTAAATGTACGCCCACCACGTGGGCACCCCTTGTGGGTTATATAATTGGAGCGACTCCACTGTTGCCTCCGTTTTCTCTTCACGCCAAGCTTAAGAGCTTCTTTTAAGAGCAATTATACAAGAAAAATCTACTCACCGACCATGTCCAGCGACGCCAGGACCTGCCCGGCCTGCCAGACGGGCTCCATCTCCAGCGGCGACCTGCACGCCAAGTGTGAGGTCTGTCTCGGGGCTCACCACGCTGGCCTGGCCCTGACCCCCAGGCCTCGTGCCGTTTTGTACCGCTCTGCCCGTGGCTGAAAAGGTCCGCCGGGTCGAGTACTTCACCCCCTCCACCGACGAGGAAATTCCGGTGGCTGGCACGTACTCGCTGGACAAGGCGTTACGGTTCTTCAACGTTGGCCAGGAGCCGGCTGGCTCCTACCGATTGGACGATGTCATCGACAGCGAGGAGTACGACGAAGCTGGCTTCCATAGCCCTTCTTCCCTCCAGTACAACACGGAGGTCGACTACGAGGCTGGCTGCCATAGCCCTTTTTCCCTCCAGTACAACACGGAGGTCGACGAGCCTTGTGAGGAGCACGACGAGGCTGGCTGCCGCAGCCATTATTCCCTCCTGTACAACACGGAGGTCGACGAGCCTCGCTCAGCGGGTCCTTCTGCCCCAGTGGTTTCTCGCTCCTCCCTGCCAGCAGTTAGAGCGCTGCTCCAGGAGCTGCCCGCCATCATCTCCGCGGCTGCGACCCGCAGGTGGCTAGCCGTTCCAGAACCGGCTCCCCTGAGGCGGATGAATTGGCGGGATTTTTTGGGGCAACACAGACGCGCTGTCCAGACCCCGTCTGGCCGCGCTTCCCCGCTGCCATGAGCTGCTGGTCCGCCGCCTTCTCCGAGCCTGCCAGGCTCGAGGCGCCAATTTCCACATATGCGCCCATTACCAAGGTCGAGGGCTTCTCCGACCAGGGCTGGCCATCCGTTCCTCCACTGGAGCCGGACTTGGCCTCGCTGTGTGGCGTCAAGAACTACCTCACTGGACCGCGAGCAGTTCCCACTAAGCATGACCAGCTGCTGAGGCGGCTCGCCGATCGCGCACACCAGTGCGCCTTCCAGACCGGCGCTGCAGGAAATAACATCGCCTTCTCGCCTTTGGCGTTTCCAAAATGGCGGAGGAGCTTGACTCTCCTGTCGAGTCAAAAACCATCATTACTAAAACTGCTGATGCCATCCTCAATCTGTGCGCTGCTGTACTCACCGGTTCTGCTCGCATTGCTGCCTGGCAGACCCTTATCCAGCGGCCTTGTGGCTCATGGCCCTGCCCTCCATTCCTGAACACCTGCACAGAGAGATGCTGGAAGGCCACATCACCTCTGACGTTCTGTTTGGTCCCCATTTTACGAGCATCATCTAGAGGGCTCAGCAGCTGAACTTTCAGTCACGGTGCGAGACCTGGTCCACTCTCGGTCAGCCTCGCACTCCGGCCGTTCCCCCAGAGGATGGGACGAACAGCGCGGTAACTCCATGCGCCCAGCTGCACGGCCCGCCCCGCGGAGCCGGCCTCCCGCTGAGGCGGGACCAGGGAGTTGGCGGCCAACGGTTCCGAACGAGCCAGCAGACACAGCCTTGGCAGTCACAGGAACCTCGCCGAAAACAACCACGAAAACGACTCGTTGGGGGGAATATGTGTGCTTATGGCTGCAATGTTAACTCTGTGAATTATTTTGGTTTTGAAATAAAAACCCAAAAAAACGTCACATCGAGAGCACAATCCTACAGTCCTCTGCAGAACCTTCTGCCGAACCCTCACACATGATGTTCCCCGCACCAAGCACTGCAGCACATCTGCATGTTCACACAGTTGGACTCGGTCATGTTACACGGGTAGCTGTAAGGGTGCGCTCCATTTGCGCACCGCCCCCAGCCTACGGCCAGGCCCGACTCATCCCGCTTCCCCCACAACTTTGGGTGGGACGGGATGTCATGGCGCTGTCGCGACCACGCGCAAAGCGCGCACATTGCGCGGCTCCATCCGCTGGCACTTTGACGTCCCCGTGCACGGGCCCGGCTCCCACTCATCCTTCATGGACTCCACGCTCTGCGGTGCGGATCAGCCTCTTCCAGCTGTTTCACACTCGCTCTTTCGATCACAGCCCTCCATGGGTCGCTCCCAGTTCTCTGGTACGAGCGACGGCGGTAAGGGCGCAAAACCAATCCTCAGACGTTGCTCACGTGACCTCGAGCACACGTCCGCTGTCGGAACGCGCGCACAAATGCCTCCCTTTCGGCTACTCGCTAGCCCAGCGCACTTTCTCCAAATGTCTGGAGACCGCGCTGCAGCCACTGCGCATGGCGGAAACGAGGGTTTTATTTTACCGGGACGATCTGCTCCGATGCACCCGGTCCGAGGACAGGGCGTCAGTGCAAACCAGGAGGTTAACAGAGCATCTGTCAACCCTGGGGTTTTCTATAAACTGGGGGAAGAACTCTGTTCTTCCATCCCAGTCGATTATGTTTCTCAGGGTGGAGCTGAACGCCTCTCTAATGAGAGCACGTTCGTCGCCAGTGAGAGCGGCAGATCTCACCACGGTGATCTCCCGCGTGCAACCCCGCGAGATCGTGAGAGCCCTGTTAGTCATGAGACTTCTGGGCATGATGGCTGCAGCCCACTCGGTGGTGCTGCTGGGGTTGTTGCACTCGAGGCGCCTGCAAAGTTGGTTCATCTGCCTCCAGGTACACCCGATACGTCAGAAGAGACGTATGTTGAGGGTCCCCCCCTCAGTGGGCGGGGACCTCGCTCACTGGGGGAATCCCTGCATCCCCTCACACGGGATTCCCATCGGACGTCCTGCGTCACACGTATCTGTGTTTACGTATGCGTCACTGTCTGGGGTGGAGGGCACGTGCTTGTACCATACGGCGGCAGATCGCTGGCCCTCCCACACGCACGAGCACATAAATGTGTTGGAGCTTATGACAGTGAGGAATGTGTTCATGCACTTCGCTGCCCTTCTCGATGGCCGTCATGTCGAAGTTCACACAGGCAACCAGGTGGCGGCAGCCTGCATAAATCGCAAGGGGGGAGTTCGATCCCCCCCTCTATTGCGCATAGCCACAGATTTACTGTGTTGGACACATGTCCACCTGCTGTGCCACCTACATTCCGGGGATCCTGAATGTAGCGGCAGACATCCTGTCGAGAGGGGGTCCCCGCGACTCCGACTGGCGTCTGCATCCCGCGCTGATATCACAGATCTGGATAAGGTTCGGGGAACCGTGTGGATCTGTTCACGGCTCGCGAAAACGCTCAGTGTCGCCTGTGGTTTTCCCTGAGTCTCCGGGACCAAACCTCGCTCGGAGCGGACGCCTTCTCACACCAGCCCGGGCTTCGAACGCTCCTTTATGCGTTTCCACCAGTCCCTCTGATTCCCCGTCTCCTGGACCGAGTTCGGTCAGAACAGCTCTCGGTAATTCTGGTGGCTCCCAGACGCCTGTCCGCGTCATGGCTTCCGGACCAGCAAGCGCTACTGTCCGGCTCCCCGTGGAGACTCCCGCGAAGGGAGGACGCCCCTCCCCAGGCGGATGGGATAATCAGACATCCTCCGGAAATAAGTCATCGGCTGTGGGTCTGGCCGCTGAGCGGTTTCGATTAGGGGTTTCTGGGCTGCCGCATAATGTGGTCACCACGATTCAGAGTGCGCGGGCGCCCTCTACCATTGCATCTTACGCTGCTAAATGGGCAGCTTTCCAGAACTGGGGCACAGAGCGGGATGTTCAAGCGCTCTCCTGCCAGCTGGCGGATGTCCTATCGTTTCTGCAGATACTGATGGACAGGGGCCTCGCATTTAGCACTATTAAAACATATGCTGCAGCTATCTCATCCTGTCACCAGGGTTTTGGAGATAGATCTGTTTTCAATCATCCCCTCACAAAACGTTTTCTAAAAGGTGTCAGAAGGAACGGACCTGTGTCCTGTCCGCTAATTCCCCAGTGGGATCTAACGGTGGTTCTGCGTGGCTTATCTGAAGCCCCATTTGAGCCCTTGGACCAGGTCTCACTCAAGTTCCTGTCACTTACAACTGCCTTGCTGCTGGCACTGGCATCATTTAAGAGAGTGAGTGACCTAACCGCCCTCTCAGTGGCTCCCGCATGCCTCAGGATCCGGAAAGATGGCGGGTCTGCTGTTTTATGCCCCAACCCAGCCTTTGTGCCCAAAAAACATTAATACTTCCTTCAAATCCAGGTCAATTTCATTGGCTGGACTTTTTCCTCCTCCCCATAATTCTGATGAGGAGGCGACTTCCCATCTTCTCTGCCCGGTGCGCGCGCTCGCACGATATGTGTCACGCACTTCAGGGATTCGCCGCTCACAAATCATGTTTGTGCACTACAGAGATTCTTCCCTTGGGCAAGCGCTGTTGGCCCAGCGCCTTTGACTCTGGCTATGTGACGCCATTTCACTCGCTTACACATCATTTGGGCTGGATCCTCCTGAGACACTCAGGGCTCACTC